TATCGTTCGTAAGCTAAATATGCTGGTCGACCACAAACAGGCTGCAGGCTGGAACGGATTCGGAAATCAGGAGACGAAAATGCGGGGTTCCGAATTCCACAGAGGCTGTATTAGTTAACGACGGCACCTCATATTTGACAATCGTAGCGAAAATTACTTAATGCCTTTTATTTTGTCAAGCAGGCGGGTAGGCAGCGGGCACGAGCACGATACACGAAAGCTTTTTTTTAATCTTTATTTAATAAGAGCTGTTTTCCAAAGAGGAAAATGTCAACCCTATTATAGGATACAAAATTCAGTACAAAAAATAAAGCAGTTAAACCGTTTGTGGAGTTAGCGTTTATTTTGAAGACTAGCTACTCACACGCGATATTACCACTGCTGCTCAGCTCCATTTAACTGTAGCGTAATGTTTTATTCTCTATAGCCTTCCATCAGTCTTCAGTGAAGACGTTGCACGTTAGGTACGTTACATTTTACTGTCTGACGAGTTGTCCTTTAATCATTCGATCAATGAGCTGGTCATTCAATCAAATAACAGATTAAGCCAAATGACTGCGACATAGATGATAGGTCTTAGTGATGAACGAATATTCGTGTTCGCAATCGCGAATTTTCGCTTAGGTATTTTTTGACATTCGCATTCGCAATTTTTAATGCGAATGCGTTTTGTATGATTTTAAACGAATGAATTTAAACGAATTTTTTCATACATTTCTTATTTCTATTGATAGAAGTTCATCACCTATTGATGCATTTCTTGAAGAAATCAGCTGGAATCCGAGGCAACAAATTCTTCAAAGGCATTTTGTACTGCCTCTCGGGTATTGAATTTTTTTACCGCCGGAAGTTATCCAAATTCTTGAAAAAGTAGTAGTCTGTGTGCATAAGGTCTGATGAGTACCGCGGATGACCGGAGCATCCAACCCAAGTTCCTGCAAATTGGAGACCGTCTGCTGTGCAGTATGAGCAGCGGAAACGAGCTATTGACCAATGCTGGCCTTGGAGATGTGCCAGCTTCTCCATCATTTTGTCCAGTTCTTCACAGTAGGTACCCATCTGCACTAATGCTTACCCCGTTTGGTAAGAAGCTGTGAATTATCACACCGGCACTAGACCTCCAAACAATGACCATCATTTTCTAGGGGTAAGTTGACGTTTAGGTTTAAGGCATTGTTTACGTGCTGAAGCAAGATCCAACGAACTTGCTGAGGGCTTGCGGTTATCAAATAGAATCCATTTTTCATCGTAGATAACAAACTAATGAACAATACTCTGACTTCTACCATATCTATACGGATGGTTTCAAACATAGTGCAAATTATTCTGGTGCACCATTTTTGTATCCACAAACAGGGGCTTCAATGAAATTTAAAATATCCTCAAACTTATCAATTATGCATGTGCAATTGATTGCTATAGTGGAGGTGTTGGCGTATATTAAATCTTTTAAAGGGAATCGCTTTGTGATCTTCTATGATTCAAAAAGTTCATTAGGTACCTACTTCATTTGATTAAATGTTCAACGCCATTTAGAGGACTCCCACTGGTCTATTATAGTATACTATTTTAAGACTATTCGGTGAAATTGTCAACATTCACAAAACAATTATATTACAGTGGACTGAAGTATAACGAGGCACTCGATGGCTTAGCTAATGAAGCTAGATCTAATGGACAGTATTATAGTTGCTTACCTTGGCATACCGAATTACTCCCTATAGTCAGAAATAACTGTTTTGTTAACAAAAGGAATTTGGTATGGAACATCTCTGCCTCGTTCGCTATGGTTCAGTGTGAGCGGGATGCAAAGACAACTCGTGACGGCTTTGAGGCTTCGATCTGGCCATATTCCTTTGAATTGTTTTGGATTCCTTATACGTAAAGTTGATTCACCGAACTGTAGTCTATGTGGAGTGATAGAAGATGTCTATCACACATTAAATGCATGTAGTCGGACGTGGCCCCAACGACGGTTAATTTTTGGGGATAACATTATTGATGTTGGTTATTATAAAAGTATTCTGTCTTGTCCATTATCCCTTCCGATAGTGAAGAAAGCTAAGAAGCTTCTCAAAATTATTATTATAGGCTTAAGGTTGAGGGTAGGCTAGATTTATGTTAGTATAATTTATTGTTAATTGTATCTGTATTTAATCATGGATGTGACATTTTCTCTATTGTAAAAATAAAGATTTTTTTTATTTACAACTTAAATAGTGCGATAATTACTATTACTAATAATAATTATAATTACTATTACTGCTTACAAAATAAAAATACCTACTCTGATATTCTACACAACTTAGCCTAATTATCAATCCAATATAAAGGAATCATTTTCGCAGCTGCAGATGTAGGCTTAGCTAAAATACCATTGAACATTCAAACATCCATTGCCGACATTTTCATGGAGTTGAGAAGTATATTTCTTTTATTTGTATATCAGACACATTCGACCAACACACACACACATGTCACAATTAGGGGAGTCTGATTTTTGCATGAGGTGAGCGAAGTGGTTCAGTGGATGAGTCCTGACAGTAAACGAAGCGCAGCAACAGTTTGTCTTCGATTCAGTTTTGACCACGCACACCAGGGTATATGAGGAGGCTCACATTGTATACTTTTACGCCAAATCCCTTTGTTTTGTTTTCGATCTTTCGTTGAAATGGTATTTCCAAAATACGTTGTTTAATTTTCTAAATTTACACAAAACACTGCGCGTCACTCACTGGGAGCTACTACACCGCGCGCGGCACTCGCTGGGCAGTACTACACCGCGCGCGTCACTCGCTGGGATCGACAAGACCGCGCGCGTCACTCGCTGGGATCGACAAGACCGCGCGCGTCACTTACTGGGATCGACAAGACCGCGCGCGTCACTCGTTGGGATCGACTAGACCGCGCGCGGCACTCGCTGGGATCGACTAGACCGCGCGTGTCACTCGCTGGCAGCTACTACACCGCGCGCGTCACTCGCTGGGATCGACAAGACCGCGCGCGTCACTTACTGGGATCGACAAGACCGCGCGCGTCACTCGTTGGGATCGACTAGACCGCGCGCGGCACTCGCTGGGATCGACTAGACCGCGCGTGTCACTCGCTGGCAGCTACTACACCGCGCGCGGCACTCGCTAGGAGCTACTACACCGCGCGCGTCACTCGCTGGGATCGACAAGACCGCGCGCGTCACTTACTGGGATCGACAAGACCGCGCGCGTCACTCGTTGGGATCGACTAGACCGCGCGCGGCACTCGCTGGGATCGACTAGACCGCGCGTGTCACTCGCTGGCAGCTACTACACCGCGCGCGGCACTCGCTAGGAGCTACTACACCGCGCGCGTCACTCGCTGGGATCGACAAGACCGCGCGCGTCACTCGCTGGGATCGACCAGACCGCGCGCGTCACTCGCTGGGAGCTACTACAACGCGCGCGTCACTCGCTGGGAGGTACTACACACGTAGCCGAAAATGAAAAATTATATTCTAATTATCACTAATTTATTATTTAAGAATCTTACATATACAAAATGTATCACAAATGCTGAGCATGTAAAGCGTCTTTTGGGATCTTGCTATTAACAGCGGTGAGGCTCCGCAGTTCACTGGCACGGGGCCCGGCCTGTCACCGTGGAGCCCGGCCTGTCACTGTGGGGCCGGGCCGGTCTCTGTACGGGGCCCGGCCTGTCACTGTGGGGCCGGGCCGGTCACTGTGGGGCTGGGCCGGTCACTGTACGGGGCCCGGCCTGTCACTGTACGGGGCCCGGCCTGTCACTGCGGCGGCGTGGCGTTGCTCGGTACCAACCGCAGGGCCCGGCGCAGCAGCACGGGGCGCACGGGGCCCACGGAGCGGCCGGGGGGGCCCCGGCCGGGCCGCACGGGGCCGCGCGACGCTACGATGACGCGCGTGTAGCGCGAGCCCGACGTGACGGTGACGGGGCTGGCGCCCGCCTCCGGCGGCTCCAGCGCCGCCTCGTCGTCCGCGAACACGATGGGCAGCCGCATGATGTCCGCCGCGCCCAGCGACCCCGCGCCCCCGGGCCCCGCGCCCCCGCCGCCCCCCGCCGACGCGCGGCGGCGCGGGGGCAGGAGGGCGAGGGGAGTGGCGCCGCACCCGCGCGACACCAGCGCGGCGTCCCCGCCCCGCGACACTAGCGCGGCGTCTCCGCCCCGCTCGCTGGAACATACCCATGTGTTAAACATAATATGCATTGTACAAAGTACATGAATTTATGTAATTGCAATTTTAGTCTTTGCGCATTCAACGCTTTTCTTATTAGTTTAGTTCGCGATTGACCGTACAAGTGTGCACACAAGTCATTTTAATATCAAGTATTGTATTGCTGAGCCCTTTTTTATTTAAGGTGGGAAAATCATCGAATGACTTTTCCCGCTTGGATGAGGCGGGAGGGAGTGTCAGACTCTTACTGACTAAAAACCACCCCGTTCCTTCCCCTGCACGTTGAACCGTAGCCCCGGTAACCCGTTAGGTTCTCTGCGACTCCGAATCGGCATCGGCCCTGTTGGGGCCCATCTGTGGTGGTCTGATGGCTCTTTGAGACGCGCGCGGAACGCTCGGCGCCGTACGCTGGGGTCTGTTTCTGGTCGGACGGGGAGCCACTCATGCTCGCCGTCCGACGACGCCCGGTGTGTCCTTCGCGATGGCTGGGTTGCGAGGACGCGTCCCGCCTCCTCCTTAGCTACCATAACTGCTTCGCAAAAGGAGGAGACGGCATCCCAGTCCCCCTCGCTCCGCATCATGGCCCGCATTAGGCCCGGACGCGAGAGGTCGCCATCGCCGATCACGTACTTGAGGGCACTCCCCTACTGTGTGTTCCGTGTCCTCAGGGCGGTCCTCGCAGTGATGGCACCGACCACACTTACTGCTGCAATGGCAGCGACCCCAATGTTGCTGAGCCCTAACCGGGCTTTATGTTAAAACTGTTCCTACCCAATTATGTAATACGGTATTACAAATAGAATAGATTGCATTCATTCATGTGCACATCAGGTGATGTGCACATGAATGCAATCGAAATTTAATTTGTATAGCTGAAAGAATTGTTTAAAATGATAAATATTTTAACGGTGCCCTACAATAATATATGAAATAGGGTTAGAGTATATCCTTAGGGAGCGCTATGGTGCGAGGACTTTAGAAAAGACTAATTTTTCATCAAAATGAGAATTCTTGTAAATGGCTGGTTTTTCATTTCTATCGTTTAGTATACCTAAAAATAAGGTGAATATTATCTGGACACTTTTTATCTAGGGCTTCAGTTCTCCTGAAAATAAGCCAAGGTCAGTTGGGGGAGTACGTAAAAACACTTTTTCGCCACCCCGACACATTTGGTTAGTTTTGGTTAGAACTGTGACCCTCACAAGGCACTGAAAAGCGCTTTCTTCATACTCCGCCAACTGACGTTTAGACCTTGTACAGTCTCCAACGGTACATAGATATTTTGCTGACATTAAGATCGGTACGATCGCGCGATATTGCTTAGGTATATAATCACATGTCAAGTAAATATCGCGGAGAGTGTTTATTTATACTAACAACGAAGTAAACACCTAATGAGAAAGGAATTGCCAACTGTGCTACACTGTACTAAACTTGGGTGCAATAAACTTTATACTTACATTATCCGAGTGATCTTTTCTCTGCACACTCCAACATCAACTACAAGTGTACGAATTGTACAGAGCCCATCCTCAGGCGAACCTGAAGTCCTAGACAAAAGGTGTCCAGATGATTTTCGCTTTAATATTAGGTATACTAAGCGATGGAAATGAAAAAGTAGCCATTTATAACAATTTTCATTTTTGATGAATTTGTTTTTTTAAGTCCTAAACTCCTTGCCCCTAAGGCGACCCACTGACCGAAAATAGAATGTATTTAAGGAAAAAGTGTCACCTGACAGGGAGCAGAGGTCCGGGCGGAGGGCCGGGCGGGCCGGGCGGGGCGGCCGGGCCGGCCGGGCCGGGCGGGCCGGGCGCCGGCGCGGCACTGGGCAGGTGGGCGAAGTCCTCATCGTCGTCGGGCGCCGCCGCCGGGCCCAGCGCCCGCAGCAGGCCGCGCCCCTCGCGGCGGCGCGCCCCCACGCCCGCGCCCCCCGGCGCGCCCCCGCCGGCGCCCAGCGCCACGTCCAGGATCCAGCGCGCGCACTCGTCCTGCACGAGACGTGGATGCCAAGAGTGCCAAGACCAATGTATGTCATGTGGAGCCATCGTGCCTCGCCTTTGATTAGCTCGACCGGAGACGAGGTCGACGTCGCATTTGTAACTGTTCTGAACTTGTGAGAGCGCAGAAAGCGCGTTTCGATTGCTGAGTACAATGACTTTCGATACACATATTGATACAATCGTCAAAAAAGGCTCTAAACTGCTTGGATATATAATGCGTCTTTCAAAATATTTCACTGATATAAAAACCCTTAAAATACTATATTGCACTTATGTTAGGAGCCAGCTGGAGCAGGCGTCTCAGATATGGTCTTATACTGACGTACACTAGTAACTGTTGTATAAAACTGAAGAGTTTGTTTGTTTGCACGCGCTAATCTCCGGAACTACTGGTTCGATTTGAATAATTGTTTTTGTATTGGGTAGTGCATTTATCGAGGAACTATATAGGATATAATAAAACATCACGCTCCGATCAATAGGCGCAGAGCAAGGCGAGTGAAACCGTGCGGCAGTAGCTACTCAGAAATATATTAACCGCGTGGAAAACATTCAAAAACGTTTTATAAAATATATCTGTTTTCATACCAAACAAACCAACACCAACAATATTTAAGTTAATTACAGGGCTCTCACATTTACAATGCTTATCTAAGTTAAACAATATACAATTTAGCAATATGGTTGTATTATTTACGATTTCATTAAAACAACAGTGTTTTTAGTTATCCTGTGGAGCCGGACTAGCCTGCATCCAAGCATTTTTATCTACTATTATATATATTTTCAAAGGAATATTTCTCACACCATATTAATTCATTCATTGAAAATCCAAAATGCGAGGATTTGTGATTCACACCTACGCCTATTGTTATTATTATCCCTTTAAATACAAATAATTAGTGTTCCATTTCTGTTACGAAAATACTGAAGTTATAATGAAGCGGGGACGTCACTCACCGCCACGGCCGCGTCCACTGCGTCCTGCGGGAGCCGACGGCGGCGCCGCGCCCGCGCCGGCAGGCGCAGCCAGTCGTCCGCCCCGCGCAGCTCCAGCACGCGCCGCGACATCTCGCGCGCCGCCCCGCGCCAGCACTGCGCCCCGCCCGCCCCCGACACCACCAGCGTCGGCACCCGCGCCTCCTCCGCCGCCTCGCGCGCGCCCTCCGCCGTCACCAGCGCCGGCGCCAGCAGCACCAGCGCCCGCGCCCGCGTGCCGCCCGCCAGGCCCGCCGCCAGCGTCGCGCCCGCGCCCGCCCCGCCCAGCACCACGGGCCGCTCGCCCGCCGCGCCCAGCGCCGCCGACAGCGCCGCGCGCAGCCCGCCCCCGCCGCGCCGCACCACGCCTCGGGCGTCAGCGCCGCGCCCCCCGCGCCCCCGCCGGCCCCCGCGCCCCCCGCCACCAGGCGCGTGTGCAGCAGCGCCCCCAGTCGGCGCAGCCAGCGCTGGTCTTGGCGCGCGTGGCCGCAGCTCACCCACAGCAGCCACGGCGCGCTCGCTCCGCCCTCGCCCACGCTGGCGCCCGCCGCGCTCAGCACGCCGTCGGTCGCCGCCGGCCCTTGGCTGCCCGTGGCGCGCTCCGCCAGGCGCGGGGCCGCGCGGCGCAGGCGGGCCAACACCGCCTCGTACAGTCTCCGCGGCCCGCGGGGCAGCTGCGCCTGCAGCCAGGCGGCGGGCGCGGGGGCGCGGCGGCCATGGGGGGCGCGGCCAGTGCCAGTCGCAGGCGGCGCGCGGCAGTGCGCAGGGCCTCGCCCGCGCGGCCGCCCGCCAGTAGCTCGAGCCGGGCGCGGCGCAAGATGTCCAGCACTGCGTCAGCGAGGCGCGCGTGAGCAGTAGTGGGCGCCGCGGCCATGACGCGCGCCTCCCAATCGTCGTCCGGTTCACTGTCGGCGTCGTCATCCGCTAGCAGTCGTAGCGCCTCGTCGTCGTCGGGCAGGTCCGGCGGCGCGGGCTCGAGTCGCTCGACGTCGAGCGGCGCCGCGTCGGCGGCGGGGCGCGGCGCCAGCAGGACGCGCACGGAGTGCGTGGGGCCGGCCGCGGCGCCGCGCGCGCGCGCGTACGAGTGCTCCACCCACACCCCGCAGCGCGGCTCCTGCACAGACTATACTACAGCCCCCGTACTGGACCGGTGCACCCTGCACAAACTATGCCATAGCCCCCCCTGGACCGGTGCACCCTGCACAGACTGTGCAACAGCCCCCACTGGACCGGTGCACCCTGCACAGACTATACTACAGCCCCCGCACTGGACCGGTGCACCCTGCACAGACTATGCCATAGCCCCCCTGGACCGGTGCACCCTGCACAGACTATCCCACAGCCCCCACTGGATCGGTGCACACTGCACAGACTGTGCAACAGCCCCCCCTGGACCGGTGCACCCTGCACAGACTATCCCACAGCCCCCACTGGACCGATGCACCCTGCACAGACTGTGCAACAGCCCCCACTGGACCGGTGCACCCTGCACAGACTATACTACAGCCCCCGCACTGGACCGGTGCACCCTGCACAGACTATGCCATAGCCCCCCTGGACCGGTGCACCCTGCACAGACTATCCCACAGCCCCCACTGGATCGGTGCACACTGCACAGACTGTGCAACTGCCCCCCCTGGACCGGTGCACCCTGCACAGACTATCCCACAGCCCCCACTGGACCGATGCACCCTGCACAGACTGTGCAACAGCCCCCACTGGACCGGTGCACCCTGCACAGACTATACTACAGCCCCTGCACTGGACCGGTGCACCCTGCACAGACTATGCCATAGCCCCCACTGGACCGGTGCACCCGGTAAATAGTACAGGTGTACGCTGGACGCAATACTTACGTGTCCGCCGGCCAATGCGTGCACGTAGGCGACGAGTCTCTCATGGAGCGCAATCGCGTCCGAAGAGGTCTGCTCTTTCTCTTCACCCATCTGAGTACAACAAAAACATGTCAGTAAGCTGCGCGACGTCGACCGCGTACGCTGCTCATGAGGAAGAGTCCTTTGGTGACTCGAAACCAGTAGAAATTTTCTCAGCATATTTACGAGAGTAACTCGTAATTATTTAGTTAAAAACATTATATCTATCATATCACAGGCAGAACAGTTACATTGTGCGTGCAAGAAGACACTTTAAACAATATTTATAAGGAATATGAGCTCCATCCGTTTACAACTAGTGTGAACTCGGCAAACAGGAACTTAAGCCTTAAATTTTAAGCAATAGATTTTTTTTAAATTGTTTCTGTTTGTCTGTTTATTCCTTCTCTGTTAGTCCTCCATGGATTATAAATAAATAAATAAATAAATAGAATTAATAAAGGTTCTGCCAAAAACCCTTTACTTCACATTTGCCTTGCCAGGGGTCCAGCAATCATATACCATGCTCAACACAGAACAGGAAATGCAAGCAGGTGTTTTTAGCCAGTTACAGTCTGACACTTCTACTCACTCACCCAGGGTATGAGGAGAGTGATATACGATCATGGGCATTTTGGGCCCATTTTTGTACATTTCTCAACAGTGATGAATTATATCTAATACTAGCTACTTCGTAGCGGTCGCACCCACTCTGCGCGGCTCTTATTGATTGAGCATGATGTATTAGACCCAACTTTCAATTTCTACTTTTTTTGCTAGTAAAGTGTGCAAGTTTGTTCCCTGAAGTTAATATAAATATCCTTCATTTCATGTAATAGGATCAGGATCTTCAAACTCGTTTCACAGCCTAGATTACTACCACAGCAACAATTATAACTACAAGAACCTGACCTGTCAGGGATGGATAAATTTGCTTGGGGTATCTGGTTGTTTAAGTCACTACCTATCGGAGAGGAACTCGAACTGACAAGTAGTACCCCTTCAATGCCCTTCATAGTGTTTACACAAAATATGTTACAAGAACCAATAAATTCTTCAGAAGATATGGTTTCAAGCCAGCGATCACATGCATACACACTGCATCGCTGCGCCGCACAACTTGCATCTTCACTGGAAGTCGCTTTTTCCCTTCACAATGTGGTGATCCTACAAAACTGCATGCAGAATGCTGGTAATATTATAATTTTCTGTCTGTTAATGGCTAGAATTTGAAATAGCTCCGTTGTACTAAATTCGTTAAAAACATCAACATATAGCCTGGAGCACACTCCAGTGCAATAGACAACCTATGTGTTGGTCTTTCACTGTTAGTGAAATCATAATTAATGAGGCTCTCCTCACCGCGGGACCGCGAAGGAGTAGCTAGTATTAATATTAACTGAAATGATTAAATTACACTAATGTCTACCCTACACAAACAGTTCTAAGTGACCTAATAAGGTATCCTTGGAATATGAAAAATACCACAGTACACTGCACCTAAATTTTTAAATTTTAACTTAACTATCAACCAGATTGGAAAAGGTAAACAGGGACTCACCTCGTGAGCCGGGCCACCAACTTGTTGATATACGCTACCCGTGGCCATCACCATTTGTTAAACAGCTCGGTTACACAACTGTCTCGTGAATAGAAAACGTCTACACAGTAGTCTTCGTTGATAGAATCTTGCTGCAAAAGAAAATCATAGCACTTTTATGCTTAACAAAAAGTACAGTCCCTTCAGCAGTACAAAAGTACATACAATACAACTATTTTTGCTAAAAATTGTCAAGTGTCAAACTGACAAAAGCTAACAACAAACAATCATTGAATTGACACTGACAAGTGACACATTGAGGCGTCCATTACCGAACTTCAAAAAACATAGAGCCCCTTTTGACATACAAAGAGGTAGCGAATAGCGAACGGAGACGTAGGTAGACATTCGAATCATATTCTATGTCACTCGCAACAACAACAATAATCACTAAGATTTGTACGTAAACTTTCTTATGACAATACAAAAATTTGTACGGTTACCGAGAAAGAGGAAAAAGTACCACGAACCGGAAAAATACTATCCTGGTGAATTTGAGTCTTAGGCGTTGAGTACAAAAATATAATAATTTTTCAATTATTGCCATATTTTATTCAACATGCCGCTTCACACCGTATTCATTCGTTCTAAAATCGTTTCATGAAATCAATTTTGCGTAGAAAGTAAATATAAAAAGAATACCTACCTATATTTTTGTAGTATTAAATTATAATGTATGTAATGTATAATATTATTCTCTAGTACATTTTTAGGTAAACCTTAATAATGGTGATTTTTTTTTATTTTTTTTTATTTATTTATTTTATAAGCACATGTATAACTTTACAGCACAAACATTATACAGTTAAATAATAAAAAAAATGTTACTTATTTACTATTTTACACTTATGTGATAGGTATCTTATATAAAAAAGTACAATAATTATAATTACTTAAAACTAATTCATCAGCCGTCCATCTTCTCACAAAATCTTACACATTCACGACATACATCCTTCCATCTCGCTGCGAACAAATCACACTCTGGTGCGGATGCCAGGAAAGCATTGATCATCGTTAATGCTCGAACAAGCGGAGAATTTGCATGCGCGACTGTTCGCGTTACTGGGACAGCCAGTAAGGGGTGCCTACGTGGCCTAAGCTGATGCTTCAGAACTGGGGGCACAAACAACCGTACCACCTGTCCCACCAGCTCCGGACAGTCAGATTGTCCTCGCAGAGTACTACAGATAGAAATAATAAGAGAGTAATTTCGCCTCACTACCAAAGAATTAAAATTTAACATGCCCAGTAAAAACTTGGTGGGATATAAGAATGGATAGTACCCAAATAGCTTTTTGTACAGAAATCTAAGAAATGCTTTTTGCACTTTCTCCAGCAATAAAGCATAAGTACTCTCATGAGGATTCCATACAATAGATGCAGTCTCTAGTTTGGTACGAACTAGGGCCATGTACACAAGTTTGATAGCTTTAGGATTATCAAATTCACGCATATTACGAATAACGAAACCTAATCTGCGATAAGAGTCAATTGTAAGTAACCTCATATGTTCGTGAAAGTTTAGTCGAGGGTCGAAGACTACACCCAAGTCCTTTACGGTGTGGACTCGATTTATGAGCTCTGACCCCAAAAAGTATTTAACATGCAAAGGATTATGTGCTCGACTAAAGGACATTACATTACATTTGGTTGTATTAAAATGGAGTTTATTTTCATTGCTCCACTGGTACAAAGCATTAATATCACTCTGTAAGGTATCTGCATCTGCTAAATTTTTCACCCCATAAATAAGTTTAAGATCATCAGCATACAATAAACACCTCGCATGCTTGAGACAAGATTCTAGGTCGTTCACCATCAATCCAAACAGCAAAGGGCCCAATACCGAACCCTGACTAACACCGGAGCGAGTGTGATAAGGTGGAGAAATAAAACAACCATGTCTTACATATTGTTGACGATCACGGAGGTAATTTGAGAAAAATTTAAGTAATTGCGGTGAGAAACCTATATCATCGAGTTTACCAAGTAATATATCATTATCCACACGGTCAAAGGCTTTTTTGAAATCAAAATAAATTACATCCACTTGAATATTTTTATCTAAGTGTTGCGAAATAATGTCTACTACTGTTAGGAGATTAGTGGTCACAGAGCGGTTAAATCTGAATCCATGTTGTGAATCACATAAATGTGGTTGTATTTGTAAACTAATGTGTTTGTGTAAAATCGATTCAAATAGTTTTGGAAGCGCAGAGAGAATAGCTATTGGCCTGTAATTTTCTACTTGAGAATGGTCATTACCTTTGGGTATGGGTTGGACACGCGAGACTTTCCAACGTTTTGCGTAAATACCAGTTTTCAATGACATGTTAAAAATATGGAGTATGGGAGAGCTTAAATATTCTTTACAACCTTTTATGATATAAGCGGGTATGTTATCAGGGCCTATTGCAGAGTTAGGTTTCAATTTGTTTATTCCTGTCTCGACATCACAAATTGTTAATTTATCAACATGTACCAAATTAGATGTTTTGTTCTGATTATTTTGGTTTTCATGATCAAGATCAGGAACATCAGGTAAAAATACACTAGAGAAAAAATTTGAAAAAGCCTGAGCAGCATCACTACCAACACACTCTTTCCCATCATAACTGACTCTATTTTCAAAACCCCCTCTAACTTTCAGACTATTCATATATTGCCAGAAAGCCTTTGGCTCACGGTTTAGCTTCCATTGTATGCGCTTAATGTATTCATCGTACGCTGTTGACATTTTTCGCTTGATCTTGGTTCTAAGTTCAGAGAAAAGATTGTAAACCATCAGATTTTGAGTAGATTTCCATTGACGATGTAGTTCAGCCTTATACTTAATGTCATTTATTAAGTCAAAGGTAAACCAAATCGGGTAACGTCTACTTGGTTTCCTAGACCTTTTCTTTTTTGGGACACATTCGTCGAAGATGGTATAGAGAACATCATAAAAACAATCTACAGCTGTGTCAACGTCGCCAGCTTCAAAAACCTCCTGCCATGATGCCTCAGCGATAAGGTGGTACATATGCTCATAATTCCCTTTCGAAAAGTTCCAGTCTTTTTCTACATCAATATTACTAGGGTGGGCTTTCTCGATGCTATGGTATTTTAATTGGTTAATCGAGCTAAATACTACCTCCAACGGAGGGTGGTAGGCGTCACGCTTCGGAACAAGCCCGCCTCCATCCAATTCTGTTACTTCAACACGATCAATGCAGTCTGACACCAACACTACATCCAATTGTCCTCCATAAGCATTCTTCACCTCATTCCTCTCTTTCAGTCCACTAACAGTAAGGAAATAACAATAGTAACTTAAAATACTACTAGACGTATAAACAGGATTTAAATTCAAATCACCGACAATAACTACTTCACTTTTAAGAGAGTCAATGAACGATTCCACTTTTAGAAACCAATTCATATACAATTCATCTGACGCTCTAGGGTGAATATACAACACAGATATAGAAAGAAGTATGGTCCGTGACACATCGTGCCCAGAGGTCTTCACCGTTTGTGGTCTCTAAATCACAACACCGCGTTACTTTAACACCAGGCCGTGCGACAAGCATCACACCACCACCAGCACCCGTGACGCGGTCGCGACGAAGAACACTCCAACCATTACTCGTCAGTTCAGAGTCAAGCACTGAGCTAGTCAGAAATGTTTCAGTTACAGCTATAGCATCGCAGTCGATCATCAGCAAATTCTGTCTAAGGAAGTTTAACTTTGTGTTTAGGCCTCTTACATTTTGATATATGCAACTGAATGATTGATTACGTGTTGCGCTAGACGCTGAATTAATATCCTTTATGCAGGATTTTAGTTGGTTGTCTACGAAAAAACCATTCTTTTACACGAGCATTGGTAGGCCAGATATTTGGCGACACACATTTTTCATATAACTCGGGTGGAACGCCAATCTTAAACGACTTGTAGTCACCTTTAGGCTTGAGTTCTTCGACAGTACAACCCCCATCAGGAAACAGTTTTTGTAAATATGTTTGGACTTCATCAGTTCCAGAAACCATATTCCACAAATGAATGTACTTGCGGAATTCTACGGCTTTAAGTGTAGTAACTTCTGGTCCCGCAGTTCCGCGAAGAGAACTAACACGTCTAGATGTTTTGTTCTGTACCTTCGTCCACTCATCAGCAGAGTTGGGATTAGTAGTAGTCGTTGAGAGTACCGCTGGAGCTTGTATTTCGTGCCGCTGACTCATCTGGATACAATCTTCGGGTGGTGTTGATATCATGGGGGGCTGAGGTGTTTTTTCTTGTCCATCGCGCAAATCAGTCACATTGGCATTGACAGATGAGTTTCCAGATGTTTTCCCAGATGAAAGTTTTTTAGGTTTAACCTTAGACTTCGGCTTCAACTGTAGCTTAGTTTTTAAGATGGGTACTTGAGTATTATTAACAGTATTACTTTCAGCTACAGCTTGAACGGTATTATATGGAGGAGCCAGGCGGCAATTGTGGCAGTCTGACGCGTGTTCCAGTTTACTAAGTTTTTCATTACATTCCTGAATCTGCTTATAACATAGCGTCAATGCTGTATGATACTTATCTATGGTTGATACAGCATCAGTTAGCCGTTCTGATAGCATATTTATATGTTCGCGAAGGAGCTGCATCTCCATTTCCGGAAAATGAGAAGAGTCGGCTGGGGATAGACACACAGGAAGATTACTTTTATTTCGTGCAGATATATATTTTTGTGATATTGGTGTTTTTAGCAGGATAGGAATATTATCATTACAGCCACCTTTCTTAGTAGCGCAGCTACATTCCGGGCAAATCCATGCAGACCTTTCTGTTAGCGTAAGCTCGCGATTATTACATAGGTAATGATATACTTTCCCACACGTCTCAAGCGTACATTCAAGAAAAGCATCTCCAGACAATAACTCCTTATAACATGCAGCGCAATTCATGGTCTCAGTTTTGTAAGACAACAAATTCAGCAACTTCAATAACAGCAACAAATAAATTATAATTCAGTAAAGCGAAGGTAATTAACGACGGCCAGCGAGCGGGTCGAGAGGGCGACCGATGCACATACCTGGGTTGCGGGTTGCGGGGCGTGCGTGCACAGCGTGCGCGTGTGTGCGTAGCAGCGGCGGAACCGCGGGTTGTCGTAGGTCAGGGATAATTATCGTTATTCGTAAATTTAAACGGTAATTTACTTATTTCTCTGGAGCCAGATATTGTTTTGCGATGATGTAAACTGTGTTTAAAAGATTAGTTTCTTAGCCTCACA